AGCTGCCACCTGCCATGCCAGCATCCTATATCAGTACCAATTTGAGTCCCAGATGCTCCACTTCTGGGACACCCAGAAGAAGCTCCTGGCTTCGGACTGGCGCAGCTCCGGCCATTGTGGCCGATCGGGGAGTGAACCATCAGATGGAAGACCTCTCTCTCTCTCTCTCTCTCTGCCTCTTCCTCTGTGTAACTCTGACTTTCAAATAAATAAATCTTAAAAAAAAAAAAAAAAAAAAGAAAGAAGAGTTACACAGAGAGAGGAGAGGCAGAGAGAGAGGGAGAGAGAGAGGGAGAGAGGTCTTCCATCCAATGGTTCACTCCCCAGTCACAACGGCCGGAGCTGCACCGATCCAAAGCCAGGAGCCAGGAGCCAGGAGCCAGGAGCTTCTTTTGGGTCTCCAACATGGGTACAAGGGCCCAAGGACTTGGGCCATCTTCTACTGCTTTCCCAGGCCATTGCAGAGAGCTGGATTGGAAGTGGAGCAGCCAGGTCTCGCACCAGCGCCCATATGGGATGCTGGCACTTCAGGTCAGGGCATTAACCTGCTGCACCACAGTGCCAGCCCCCAAAATTTCTAATTTTTAGCCATTATAAATTATGCCAAGATGACCAGGTTCTCACACACAATTTTTTTCTTTTGTATTCTGAATTATTTATAATAAATTCCTAAAAGTGGTTCTGAGAAATAGATCAGAGGATAGGGAACATTATGACTTTTTTCTTTTAAAATTTTTATTTGTGGGGCTGGCATTGTGGTGTAATGGGTTAACTTGCTGCCTGCAATGCCGGCATCCCATATGGCCACTGGTTCGAGTTTTGGCTGCTCCACTTCTGACCCAGCTCCCTGGTAATGGCCTAGGAAAAGCAGCAGAGGGAGGCCCAAGCACGTAGGCCCCTGCTACCCATGTGGGATACCTCGATGAAGCTCCTGGCTCCTGGCTTCAGCCTGGCTCAGACTTAGCTCAGTGGTAGCCGTTGTGGCCATCTTGGGAGTGAATCAGCAGATGGATTTCTCTCTCTCTCTCTTTTTTTTTTTTTTGACAGGTAGGGTGGACAGTGAGAGAGAGACAGAGAGAAAGGTCTTCCTTTTTCCGTTGGTTCATCCCCCAATGGCCGCTGCGGCCGGCACACTGAGCCAATCCAAAGCCAGGAGCCAGGTGCCTCTCCTGGTCTCCCATGCAGGTGCAGGGCCAAGCACTTGGGCCATCCTCCACTGTACTCCCGGGCCACAGCAGAGAGCTGGACAGGAAGAGGGGCAACCGGGACAGAATCCAGTGCCCTGACCAGGACTAGAACCCTGGGTGCTGGCGCCGCAGGTGGAGGATTAGCCTAGTGAGCTGCAGCACCAGCCTTCTCTGTCTCTTTAACTCTGACTTTCAAATAAATAAATAAATCTTAAACAACAACAACAAAAAAAAAAAAAAAAAGGGAAAGAAAACTGTAGGAAACGCTAACAGGAAGGAAGCAGATCAGGCAAAACAAAACAGAGCAAACAAGCAGCAAAAATAAATTAAAGGAATTAAAGTTGCCAAATAGACAAGTGAGCAGCTGGAAGCAGGGGGCAGGGCTGAGGGTCTGTACAAGGTGAAGCAAGCCCCTAGGTTATGTTTACCCATCCCTTCCCACTGAGGACAGAACATACATTCTCTGAATGAATCCAACCCCGGAGCTCCGGAAGACACAGGGAGACAAGAGTTTGGCAGTAGACTGAAATATCAACATCCACACACTAGACCTCTTCCCTTGTAGCTGCTGGACCTGAGAACATCAGCTTGCATGGGAGCAGGAGGCAGGGGGCTCCAGGAAAGACTGCTTCCCGACAAAAGTGCAGCACGGGGGAGCAGGACAGGTTTAAGCTTGTGGGAAGCTATAACTGATCCTTGAAGATATGAGAAGGCTTAGTCACAGATACAAATAAAACAAAGCTAATAAAATGAAGCAATTTTTAATTCTGTGAAAAAAAGTTGTTCAAGAAAAGAAACAGTTCTACTTGGCTCTGCAGGGAATAATAGTCACACAGTCATAGTAACATTTACCCTGGATTCTGTCTTAAACAAAAACCGGGATGCAACTTCTAGGAAGGTGAGGGTGTCCGGCAAGGAGTGCAACCTTTATTTACCATAACAAAAGTTAACATAATTTGTAAAACAGATGAATTAAGCTTGCCCTGAGAAATAGGAAATGAGCTGAAACAAAGGTTAAACTAATTGCCTCTACAAATGGAATGTTTGTCAAAGTATTTTGTACATTTGTACATTGGCTCACAAATACCTTTTGTGTTAAGAACCCTGTAAACAAGATTCTAACAAAAACATAGGGAGCAGGCCTTTGGCATAGCTGTTAAATTGCCATGTGGGAAGCCTGCATCCCACATCGGAGTCCCTTGGGTTCAAGTTCCAGCTCCAATCTCAATCCAGCTTCCTGCTAATGTACACCTTGGGAGGCACAGGTGATGGCTCAACTACTTGGTTGTGGGAGACCTGGATGGAATTCCAGGCTCCTGGTTTCCACCTGGTCCAGCCCTAGCTGTTGGAAGCATTTGGGGAGATGTAAGATCTACTCCCCTGCCTCCCCCACCATGTGTCTGCCTTTCAAGTAAGTAAATACATATATGAAAATAATTTTTTAAAAAATGTGGCATCTGTGAAAAGGTAAGTGGATTGGAAATTTTTCTTTTCTCATAAAAATTGACCATTTGAGGGGCAGGTGCTGTGTTGTAATGGGCTAAGCCTCCACCTGTGGCGCCAGCATCCCTTTTGGGAACTTGGTATCCTGGCTGCTCCTCTTCCGATCCAGCTCTCTGCTATGGCCTGGGAAAGCAGCAGAAGATGGCTTAAGTGCTAGGGCCCCTGCACCACATGGGAGACCCAGAAGAAGCTCTGGTTCCTGGCTTTGGATTGGCTCAGCTCCGGCCATTGTGGCCATTTGGGGAGTGAACCAGCAGATGGAAGGCCTCTCTCTGTCTCTTCTTCTCTCTGTCTTGTAGTGCTACCTCTCAAATAAATAAATAAATAAATATTAAAAAAAAATCTGGGGCCAGCGCTGTGGCATAGTGGGTGAGGCTGCTGCCTGTAGTGCCAGCATCCCTTATGGGCGCCAGTTCTAGGCCTGGCTGCTCCACTTCCGATCCAGCTCTCTGCTATGGCCTGGAAAAGCAGAAGATGGCCCAAGTCCTTGGGCCCCTGCACCTGTGTGGGAGACCTGGCGGAAGCTCCTGGCTCTGGATTGGCACAGCTTCAGCTGTTGCAGGCAATTGGGGAGTGAACCAATGGATGGAAGACCTCTCTCTCTCTCTGCCTCTACTTCTCCTTCTCTCTCTTATTAACTCCAACTTTCAAATAAATAAATAAATAAATTTTAAAAATTTAACATTTGATTGCTTTTAATACATAGTACATGTGACACTTTCATTAAAAATAATAAACACATGCCCAAGGACCTCATTGAGAAAACTGTGCCCACTAACTTGCTTCTAGTCTTAAAGAAGACTGCTATAACCAAGTGGCTGTCCCCTTTGGTCCCTAGAAAACCTGAGAGGACAAACTAGAAATAACCTAGACTCTCATAGGCCTGTGTTACTGGGAAGTTCATCCTTTTCTTTCGATAGAAGTTTTAGTTTGTTTTAAGCAGCTTGCATTTGTGCTGCTAACTCAAACCTGGTCATCTAAAGCTCAGGTTTGCCCAGTAAGTGCCTGGACCAAGAGAAAGGCACTCTAATATCTCAGCAAAACTAGGCTCAGACACCACTACTGCTTCCTCTTGGAAAAGGCGGACATTCCAGAAGGGAGGAGCTCCACACAGCAGATTGCCAACACTGATACCCAATCTTCCTTCGGTAAATGAAGGTAGGTCCTGCCTCAGAGCACAGAAGGGACTGATGCAGGAGGCAGCCTGCTCTCTCGGGCATCCTCAAACACAGGCTGCTGGCTTTGACACAGAGCTGGCTACTCATTCTCTAGTCATTCCAAGTCTACCATACATTTCTCAATTGACATCTTCAGGTCCAGGGAAACCAAAATGATTTGGCTGGAACCTGCAGAGGAAAGCTGTGACTCCAGAAGGAAAGAGAAGAAACTCTTGGTAATGGAAGGCTACAGACAGAGCTAGGGAAGAAAACCTCTAACACGAGCCTATGAGATGGCAACAACGGCCGCAAAGGGGAAGCCAACAGAAGACAGAAGCCCTTTCCTTCTCGAAAGAATAAATTTCACACGAGAAGAATGAAGGACATTCCAGGCAATTTACAGAACAATGACACTGATGTGACAGAAGAAAAACTGAATGGCAGGCAGTTGGCCTAGTGGTTATGGTGCTGCTTGGGACATCTGCAGCCTACATCAGAGTACTTGGGTTTGAGTCCCAGCTCTGTTCCCAATTCAACCTTCCTGCTTGGGAGGCAGTAGGTGATGGCTCAGTCAGCTGGGACCCTGCTAACCAAGTGGGAAGCCTAGACTGGATTCTTAGCTCTTAGCTTCATTGTGGCCCTCCTGGCTTTTATAAGCACTTAGGAAATGAGACAGCAGATGGGAGCCATCTGTGTGTGTGTGTCTCTCTCTGCCTCTCAAAATACATTTTAAAAACCAATCAATCAGCCGGCACCGCAGCTCACTAGGCTAATCCTCCGCCTAGTGGCGCCGGCACACCAGGTTCTAGTCCCAGTCAGGGTGCTGGATTCTGTCCCAGTTGCCCCTCTTCCAGGCCAGCTCTCTGCTGTGGCCCGGGAAGGCAGTGGAGGATGGCCCAAGTCCTTGGGCCCTACACCCCATGGGAGACCAGGAGAAGCACCTGGCTCCTGCCTTTGGATCAGCGCAGTATGCCAGCTGCAGCGCACCGGCCACGGTGGCCATTGGAGGGTGAACCAACGGCAAAGGAAGACCTTCCTCTCTGTCTCTCTGTCTCACTGTCCACTCTGCCTGTCAAAAAATAAAATAAAATAAAAAAAAAATCAATCAGTGAATCTATAACTATGTCAAAATAAAATTCAAATATTCTTTTACCTGAAGCCAGCACAGTTTCCCATGACGACAGACATTAGCTCCTTCCACCGCCACACTCAGGACACTCTGCTTCTTGATGTGAAGCATCTGGTGGGAAAAGGAGGAAACTCCAGGGAATAAGCACTGGCACTGTACACCATGAATGGCACAAGGAAAGTGGCCAGCGGTAAACAAAGTGGATCGTGTTTTTAAAATTTTACCATATTTGACCAATATTTCAAAATGACAATTAATAACAAATGTTGGCAAGGATGTGGAGAAATTAGAGTCTTTACATACTGCTGTTAGGAACGTAAAATGGTATAGCAGCACAGGAAAACAGTTCATCCATTCCTGAAAAAGTTACACTTAGAGTTATTGTCTGATCCGGCACTTTCACTCCTAGGTATCCATCCTAGAGAAATAAGAACATGTGCGCACAAGAACTTGAATGTGAATGCTCATTGCATCATTATTCACAATAGCCAAAAAGCATGGACCACTCAAATGTCCATTAAATGGTGTGTGCATACTGTAGGACATAGTGTGCATCCAATAGAATATTGTTTGGCAATAAAAAGAAGTGAAATACTGAAACAGTACAATTGAGATGAACCTTGAAAACAATATGCTAAGTAAACAAAGCTGACCACTAAAGATCACATCTTATATAATCCTATTTAGATGAAACATCCTGAACAGGCAAACCCATAGAGACAGAAAATAGATTAATGGTGGCTAGGGGCTGAGATGGGTTTGGAGTGATGCCTAGAGGCTTCCTTCAAGGGTATCAAAGATGTTGTCAAGTTCATTATGGTGGTGGAGGTACAACTCTGGTGATGGTGTTTATGCTGAAGCTTTACATTTTAAATGGGTGAATTCTATGACATGTGCATTCTTTCTCAACAAAGCTGTTAAAAAACACCTGTTGAAATCTAACTGTCCCTTTAAAAACACACTCATGCACACACAAGCATCAGCTTGCAGGCATCTAAACAGAAAGCTGCACATCTCTCCTGAAGCCCACCCGTGAACCTTATTCCAGGCTGAATAATAAATTAGTGTGAGTGCATGCTCACAGAGAAATTGCCTACATACAGGGAACGAATCAGAGTGGTCTTTTTAAAATCTAAGACAGTCTTGACTCTTTGCTCAAACTGCCAATGACTTTCCATCTCACTCACACTCAAAATCCTTATGATATCTAGAAAGGCCTATGAGATCTACCTCTGCCCCTCCCATCTCATAACAATTTTCTTCACTATGGTCCTGTCACACACGTAAGGAATGCTTCAGCCTGGGGGCTTAGCACTCGGCAAGTACACTTGCTTTAAATTCTTCAACCTGACACCCACACGGCTGGTTTCCATGCTTCCTCCAGAATCTGTTTCAATGGCAGCTCTTCGGAGAACTTTTCTTTTTTTTTTTTTTTCCAGGCAGAGTGGACAGTGAGAGAGAGAGAGACAAAGAGAAAGGTCTTCCTTTGCCGTTGGTTCACCCTCCAAAGGCCGCCACGGCCAGCGCGCTGCGGCCGGCGCACCGCGCTGATCCGAAGGCAGGAGCCAGGTGCTTCTCTTGGTCTCCCATGGGGTGCAGAGCCCAAGCACTTGGGCCATCCTCCACCACCCTCCCTAGCCATAGCAGAGAGCTGGCCTGGAAGAGGGGCAACCGGGACAGAATCCGGCGCCCCGACCGGGACTAGAACCTGGTGTGCCGGCGCCGCTAGGTGGAGGATTAGCCTATTGAGCTGCGGCGTCGGCTCGGAGAGCTTTTCTCTGTCCACTCCACATAAACAGGAACTCCCTGACACTCCATTCACTTATACCATGCTTTATTTTCTGTAGCACTCACTGCTGGTGATACAGTAGAACGCTTATTGTCTTACATTAGAATGCACGCTTTTTGAGGGCTAGAACTTTGTGGTGATTTTTGCTTTACCCCAGTCCTCAGAACAATATCTGGCATATAGCAGGATCCCAAATATTTTGCTGGAATGATAGGTAACACATCAAAGATCTTATAAGAAAAGCAATGCAGGAGACATGGACACCATACCTGTACAGAGGCAATGCTGGGAAAGACTGACAAATACTTACTGCAGCACCAAACTTCTGCTGGAACTGATCAATGACTGTATATGTCACCTCCTCTTCCTCTACAGAACAAGGGTGATGGCATTAAATATAGTTTTCAGCTTTCACAAAAGAAGAGCCTTCCCACTGACTGAGGCCATATTCATAAACTCCTCCTTGATTATGAATCAAATGTCTAATGTTATTTTATTATCATTTGCACCAGCCTAAGAGTCAACACTAATTAGTAACCTGTATGTCAAATGGAAATAATCAAAAGCCCCACCAATGATAATCTTACAAAATGAACTGTTTACTCATGTCCTGTGATAGTTCAATAATGTTTCACTCCACATGGTTTTGTCTTGAATGATTCAACATATAAGTATTTATTTATGTATTTGAGAGGGAGGGAGTGAGAGAAACTCCCTTTTGCTGGCCTACTCCCAAAACAATTGGGAACTCAATCCAAGTCTCCCATGTGAGTGACAGGAATCCAATTACCTGAGTTACCACCACTGCCTTCCAGGGTCTGCAACGGCAGGAAGCTGGAGTCAGGAACTAGAGGCATGTATGGAACCCAGGTACTCTAATGTGGGATGTGGGTGTCTTAACTTCTAGGCTAAATGCCTGCCCCAAGATGCGAACTTTTCAAAAGAATGCTCATAACAAAAACATGAGCCTGGTGGGGACAGGTATTTGGTATGGCGGATGAGACACCACTTGGTACCCTGGCATCTCTTACTGGAATGTCTGGGCTTGAGTTTCAAGCTTTGTTCCCAATTCCAGCTTCTGCTAGTGCATACCCTGGGAGGCAGTATGTGATGGCTCAAGTAGTTGGGTTCCTATCACCCACATGGGAGACAAATATTGAGTTTCTGGCTCCCAGTTTTGGCCTGGCCCAGCCCTGGCCATTACAGACATTTAGTGGGGTGAATCATAAGATGGGAGCTCTCTCTCTGTCTCCACATCTCTTTCAAGTAAAATTAAAAAATACATAAAATTGAAATATATCAAATAACAGAGTCCTAGAAATGAGCCAATTCCTATGCTTTGGGAATTTTCTGGGTCTTGATAGTCAATTATTTTTGAAAATGATGTAATTTTTAAAAACTAGAGGTATAACATAACACAGAGTTCTTCTTCAACTCCAACTTTCTAAGGCTTTGGGGGTGGAGTCCTCATGATTGATCCTGGTGGCTTTGAAAGGAGAGAGACCACTTTTTTTTTTTTTTTTTTTTTTATTTTTTGACAGGCAGAGTGGACAGTGAGAGAGAGAGACAGAGAGAGAAAGGTCTTCCTTTGCCGTTGGTTCACCCTCCAATGGCCGCCGCTGCAGCCGGCGTACCGCGCTGATCCGATGGCAGGAGCCAGGATCCAGGTGCTTTTCCTGGTCTCCCATGGGGTGCAGGGCCCAAGCACCTGGGCCATCCTCCACTGCACTCCCTGGCCATAGCAGAGAGCTGGCCTGGAAGAGGGGTAACCGGGACAGAATCCGGCGCCCCGACCGGGACTAGAACCCGGTGTGCCGGCGCCGCAAGGTGGAGGATTAGCCTATTGAGCCACGGCGCCGGCCTAGAGAGACCACTTTTTAGACACAAAGTCAGACAAGTGTGCTCCCTGTCTCCTGTCATGGGATGCTCTGCCTTGCCTTCAGACTCTGTCATCAAAAATGCTGTCATGAGACGCCAAACCAGTGAGGACTGCCCTGCCCAATCTTGGATTGTAAACCTCTAGAACCATGAGCCAAAATAATTTTTCTTTATAAGTAGCCTCCCTCAGCTATTTTGTTATAGTAACAAAACCTGACTAAGCCAGCCAGCTGAGTGAATTCCATGAATTCATGAATCAGGGTTACACCAGCTCTCAGCAACTCTGAACCACGATACTGGCAGCCTAGAGAATTCAGTGCCCCTGCTCACCTGATGCACTGTACTTCAGATCATTCAGCAGAGAGATGGGTGGTGCTCCAGGATCAGGAGAGGCAGGCTCACACACACTTGGGTCTTCATCTTGCATTTTATCCACACTTGTTCTTTCCATATTCAGACTACCCTTCCAACAAAACACCACTCAGGTGAACTTGTTCTCTGTGGCTGATGCCATACACAGATTCTGCCACACATTGAAGGTAAAGACTGTGGTTTCCCATTGGATATGGAACCTGTTCATCCACTGCCTACACTGACTTGAGGGTGCTATCTAAAGATGGAAGAAAACATTTCTACTCATTTAGTCCATCTTAGGATTAAGTAGCTAGTGCGTTAGAGTTAGGGCATGATACACTCATATGCACATTTGGGAGACATCCTAATTATGCAAATTATTTCATGGGGCCAGTGCTGTAGGAGTATCAGGTTAAGCTTCTGCCTGCAGTGCTGGCATCCCATATAGGCACCAGTTTGAGTCCCTGTTGCTCCACATCTGATTCAGCTCCCTGATAATGTACCTGGGAAAGCATTGGAAGATGGCCCAAGTTCTTGGGCCCCTGTACCCACAAAGGAGACCCAGAAGAAGCTCCTGGCTCCTGGCTTTGGACCAGCCCAGTTCTGGCTGTTGTGGCTATTTGGGGAATGAACTAGTGGACTGAAGATTTCTCTCTGTCTCTCCCTCTCTCTGTAACTCTGCCTTTCAAATAAAATCAAAGATTTGCTTGTTTATTCAAAAGGCAGAGTTAGAGAGAGAAAGGGATATTCAGAGAGAGCAGAGAGAAAGATCTTCCATCTGCTGGTTCACTCCCCAGATGGCCATAATGGCCAGGGCTGGACCAGGTCAAAGCCAGGAGCCAGGAGCTTCATCCAGGTCTCCCACATGGGTGCAGGGGCCCAAGCACTTGGGCTGTCCTCCGCTGCTTTCCCAGGTACATTAGCAGGAAGCTGGATCAGAAGTGAAGCAGCCAGAACTTGAACCATTGCCCATATGAGATACTGGCACTGGAAATGGTGTCTTAACTCACTGTGCCACAGCACAGGCCCAAAATAAATAAATCTTTTAAAAAAAAAAAAAAGAAAATTATTTCATCATACCTGACAGAAGGTGCCTTTTCTCTCACTGGTCCTTGTTCCACTTCATCCAGTAATTCCACTGTAAAAATAACCAAATGACTTCCAACAGAGTTTCTAATCTAAACACAGTTAACCAATGCCTATCTCCACATCCCACACAGCGAGTTTGACTCTACACCATACATAGTCATCAGAAGTGAACTGTTAGCCTCTAGAGACCTTCACTGGGCGGCAACACACAGGGCAGAGCAGAGGATCCAGAGTACTGAAAATCCCCACTATCTCGTCCCCATGCAGCTCCGTGGTTACTCAGGACTGTGAATGTCTCCAGGTATTTCCTTTACCCTCTTGGTTCAAGGGTGCTTGTGGTCATTCCCAAAGGTTCTAGACAAATTTTTCCCATTCATCCCAACTCTAATGCACCTCCCCTCACATATGTACTACTGAAGAGTTTTTTCTCTTAAACTGTTCAGATATGTTCCTGATATTTTCACAGGCTGGTACATTAACAGTTCAGTGACATGAAAGGTACAGCGGAAGCCTCAGAGGAATTAGGAGAGAAACACTCTATGGAGACTCTGAAATCATTTATTTTTAACCTAATTATATAGAAAATATAGGAAAATAGTGCATTTAATTGATTCAAAGATGCACATTTTAAGTAGTTCTGAAATTGAGTGTGATTTATAATCAATATACATGACAGTTTAATTGGCAGTTTTGTCTTTGTTAGGGTGCAAAAGTAATAATCTGTCAAATAATTAATGGTATCTCAGATTCAAGGACGTACACTGAGGTATTTTTTTTTTTTTTGATAGGCAGAGTTAGACAGTGAGAGAGAGAGAGAGACAGAGAGAAAGGTCTTCCTTTACCGTTGGTTCACCCCCGAAGTGGCCTCTATGGCCCACGTGTTGTGGCCAGCACGCTGTGCTGATCCGAAGCCAGGAGCCAGGTGCTTCTCCTGGTCTCCCATGGGGTGCAGGGCCCAAGCACTTGGGCCATCCTCCACTACCTTCCCAGGCCACAGCAGAGAGCTGGACTGGAAGAGGAGCAACCAGGACAGACTCCAGCGCCCCGACCGGGACTAGAACCTGGTGTGCTGGCGCCGCAGGCGGAGGATTAGCCTATTGAGCCGAGGTGCTGGCCTAGATGCGCCCATTTGATGATTCCTCTTGATTTTTTTTTTTTTTTTTTTACAGGCAGAGTTAGACAGTGAGAGAGGGACAGAGAGAAAGGTCTTCCTTCCGTTGGTTCACCCCCAAATGGCCGCCACAGCCGGAGCTATGCTGATCCGAAGCCAGGAGCCAAGTGCTTCTTCCTGGTCTCCCACGCGGGTGCAGGGGCCCAAGCACTTGGACCATCGTCCACTGTACTCCCGGGCCATAGCAGAGAGCTGGACTGGAAGAGGGGCAACAGGGACTAGAACCCAGTGCCCATATGGGATACCGGCGCCGCAGGCGGAGGATTAACCAAGTGAGCCACGGCGCCGGCCCTAGATGCACTTTTATAGCTACTTTTTCGGGTGAAAATTCGGGCCTGCTCTTTATACATGGCTTTTGTCGGCAGAAATAAAGAATACAGCTGCTTCTTGCAATTCCCAAACCCAAAAAGCCATGATGACTAATTTTTTTGGACTGTTTGGGTGGCGAATTGTGAACTCCATTTAGCATGATTTCCCACTGGTTCCCCTGGAGCAGTGTGCCGTGCAGTCTTTGGTGTGGGATTTGTACGGTATCACATTTCATTGCTGTGTTACATTTCCCCAAACAATTCTGGATTCTGAGACACGTGGCTCCAAGGTTTTAGATACGGATTGTAAATGGACTATAGTACTTAACTAGCTTGCTGAGCAAGACAATCCTTTCCTGGTCAGCTTCCTAAATCTGCTTGCTGTCTCCAAGGATGAGCACTGGCTGACCTCACATTGTGAAACCAAGGTGACCACACGTCTATGCTGCTCACAGAGCGTCCACAGAAACAGGTAGGAGAAGGGTCGATTCTCAGTTACCAACTTTAACAGCTCATAAGTGCAATATTCAAGGCAAGTTCATGTGTCATTTTAATTCAAATATTGGAATGAGGCAGAGCAGTGGTTCTACTACTGGTTCAAACACCAGTACCATCATTCAGGGTGAAACTCACCATTCACAATCTCATGCCCAAAGAACATCTTCACTCCTGGGACACTTCGACCTGTCTCCACATTCTTCACTGTTACAGAAAACAATTCATTTGATTAATAATAATAATGAAAAAAAAAACCCCTCATGCCTTTCAAAACTACCCCAATCTGAGTTTCCTAAAAATCCTAATTATTTTCCCTAGGAATGAATGATCAATAATAAATTATAAAGCTCCAAGCCCTGAGCTGAGTAGTACGAAGGACAGAGTGAAACCCAGCATAGTCCAAGATAAACTGAGAGGGACAACAGAAGTCCAGTGGGCCGGCACCGCAGCTCACTTGGCTAATCCTCTACCTGCGGAGGAGGAGAATTAAGAATTACACCCAGGCCTCCATGACTATAATATACATTTTTTTTAAGATTTTCTTTTTTGAGAGGTGGAGTTACAGAAAGAGGATGAGACAGAGAAAGATCTTCCATCCACTGGTTCACTCTCCAGATGGCCACAACGGCTGCAGCTATGCTGATCTGAAGCCAGGAGTCAGGAGCTTCTTCTGGTCTCCCATGCGGGTGCCAGGGCCCAAGCTCTTGGGTCATCTTCTATTGCTTCCCAGGCAATAGCAGAGAGCTGGACTGGAAGAAGAGCAGCCAGGACTTGAACTGGCGCCCATATGGGACATCACAGGCAGAGGCTTAGCCCACTATGCCACAGCACCGGTTCCACTGTCACACTGCCTACCAGATGTTAAGTTCCAGTCTCCTTAGCCGTCTCTACCGCCACTGCTTACTCCTTACACATAGATTGTGCCAGGGTTATGTGCTTCATCTCTTCCTGTTCCTTGAACAACTGTATGGAGATAGAGGTGGGAGGGGTGGGTGCTGTGGCACAGCCAGTTAAGCCACTGATTGGAATGTCCACATTCTTTACCAGGGTGATGGTTCAAGTCCTGGCTACTTTACTTCTGATTTAGCTTCCTGCTGATGCATCTGGGGAGGCAGCATATGATGGCTCAAGTGCTTGGTTCCCCTGCCAACCACATGGGAGACCTGGATGGAGCTCCTTGGAGACTCTTGGCTTCAGACTAGCCCAGCCATGGCTGTTTTAGACATTGGGTCATGAACCAGTACATGAAAAATATCTCTCTCTCTCTCTCTCTCTGCCTTTCAAGTAGAGGAAAATAAACATTGGAGAATAGTGGAGAACATCATACTTTAAAATGATCATATCTATTTCAAACTTTCTAACAGCCATTATTTCTGCATCCTGAACTGATTCTCTGAGTTCTACTCAAATTTTCAAATTGCAAATAGATTTACTATGAGGTTTTCAAATGTAAATAATACTCTCCCATTGATTAAAAAAAAGTCTGTTCCTCTTCCCATTTCTATCAGTTAGTAACAGTACTGTACACCTAATCTTTTGAGTCATAAATGTAGAAGTCATTTTCCATTGTTGTGTATTATCTAACTGATTACTAGGTTACTTATTCCCTCTCCTAAGTATTTCCAGAATCTGTCTCCATTACTTGCCATGACTTTGCTCAGACCCCCATCATTTTCTGTCTATTGTGTCCACTGATTGGCTGAATACTCTGTATCTCTTCTCCCCACCTCTCCAGATTCTCCCTACTGCAATCCTTCCTTCACATGCTGTCACAGTGATGCCATTCCCTGCTCTGTCCAAAGACTGCATAAAATTATAATCAATGATAAAGAAATATGCTCAACCAACCTCTTTAGGAATATTTTTATTTTTTTTAAGATTTATTTATTTATTTGAAAGGCAGAGTTACAGAGAGGCAGAGGCAGAGAGAGAGAAGTGTTCCATCCACTGGTTCACTCCCTAAATGGCTGTAAAGGCTGGAGCTGGGCCAATCCAAAGCCGAGAGCTAGGAGCTTCTTCTAAGTCTCCAATGCTGGTGTAGGGACCCAAGGACTTGGGCCATCTTCCACTGCTTTTCCAGGCCATAGCATAGAGCTGGATCGGAAGAGGAGCAGCCGGGACTTGAACCGGTACCCATATGGGATACAAGCACTGCAGGCAGCAGTTTTACCGGTTATGCCACAGCGCCGGCCTCTTTAGGATTTTTTTTTTATTATTATTATTTGACAGATAGAGTCAGACAGAGATAGAGGGAAAGGTCTTAATTCCGTTGCCTCACCCCCCAAATGGCCGCTATGACTGGAACTATGCTGATCCAAAGCCAGGAGCCTGGTGCTTCTTCCTGGTCTCCCATGCGGGTGCAGGTGCCCAAGCACTTGAGCCATCCTCCACTGCTCTTCCAGGCCACAGCAGAGAGCTGGACTGGAAGAGGAGCAACTGGGACTAGAACCTGGCAGCCATATGGGATGCCAGCGCCACAGGCGGAGGATTAACCTAGTGAGCCACGGCGTCGGCCTGTTTATGAATATTTTTAATCATAACAAAATGAATATTACTTTTCCTTATAAAACTAGCAAAAAATTAAGGGTATACATAAAAATTTTAAAAATTCAATGCTAGATTACTTAATTAACTTACTTATTATTAGTAGCAAAATAAAAAAGGCAGAACCCTTTTGAAAGGTTATTTGGAAATGGGCATCAAACACTTAATATTTGGCTGGACATTTGGCCTAGCAGTTAAGATGCCAGTTAAGGGAGCTGGCATTGTAGCATAGCAAGTTAAGCTGTTGCCTGTGACACTGGCAGCCCATATGGGTTCTGATACGAGTCCTGGCAGCTCTGCTTCCAATCCAGCTCCCTCCTAATGTGCCTAGGAAAGCAGTGGAAAATGGCTCAAGTGCTTGGGCTCCTGCAACCATGTGAAGCTCCTGGCTCCTGGCTTCAGCCTGGCCCAGCCCTGGCGATTGCGGCTATCTGGGGAGTGAACCAGTGGATGGAAAACCTCTCCCCCACCCAAAACTCCCCAGATACCTCTTTCAAATAAATAAATACTGTTAAAAAATAAAAAGACGCTAGTTAAGACATCTGTATCCCATACTAGAGTGACTGGGTTCAATGCATATTTCCAGTCCTTAACTCCGATTTTCTGCTAGTGTGGACCCTGGAATACAGTGATGATGGCTCAAGTAATTGGGTTCCTGCTGCCCAAGTAGAGACCTGGATTGCATTCCTGGCTCCCAGCTTTGGCTTCTGGGCTAGCCCCAGCTGTTTTGGGCATTTGGTGAATGAGCCAGCAGATGAGAGCTTTCTCTCTTTCAAATAAAAATATATAAATTTAAAAAATCCCACAAAGTTAAAATACTCATAATTGTCCCCCCAGTAATTTTACTTTTAGGAAATATTCCTAGGAAAACAATTACAACTCCAAGTATAGAACTTTCTAAAGCTTTCTGCTTTAAAATGTTTACTCATTAAGTTATATATATATATATATATTTTGACAGGCAGAGTGGACAGTGAGAGGGAGAGAGAGAGACAGAGAAAGGTCTTCCTTTGCCGTTGGTTCACCCTCCAATGGCCGCTGCGGCCGGTGCGCTGCGGCCGGCGCACGGCACTGATCCAAAGCCAGGAGCCAGGTGCTTCTCCTGGTCTCCCATGTGGGTGCAGGGCCCAAGCACTTAGGCCATCCTCCACTGCACTCCTGGGCCACAGCAGAGAGCTGGATTGGAAGAGGGGCAACTGGGACAGAATCCAGCGCCCTGACTGGGACTAGAACCTGGTGTGCCAGCACCGCAGGCAGAGGGTTAGCCTATTGAGCCGCGGCACCCGCTAAGTTATAGTTTTAAACATGAGAAGGTGCTTGTTATGCTGTTTAACAAAAGCAATATATGATATACCCAACTTACTATGTCAACTATGTGAAATCTGTGTAAAGGCACACCTGGACTGAATGCTTTGTGGAACAAGCACGTGACGTTACTGCTTATTGTCTATTCATCAGGTTGGCAATGTGCCCAGATAGCCGTGGCCTTCCTGGGCATCTTAAGTAGGCTGACTTGCTGGGAGGAACACCTTTTCCCCACTGTCTATCCTCACGCTCGTCTGTAACGCCACCAGGTGACACGTGACCTTGAGGTGTGAAGTCACGTGCCGAGGATGCAGGAACAGAAGGATGCATCCTTGCTGACTCTGGGGACAGCCACAGTAGCCCTGTGCTGCTTGCCTTATTTCATGAGAGAATAAACCAATCTGTTTCAGCCACTGGAGGCAAACTTGGTTTCCAGCAGCTAAGTGTGGTTCCTAACAGAGCACTCACATCTTTATGTTCCCTACTCAAAAATCTTGCAGAGTGCTCCTCACTCTTTCAGAACAGTGACCATCAAGTGCTAGGATTTGTAAGATTCTTTTAATTTGTCCCATGCCTACCTCATTAGCCTATCTCTCATCACATCCCCATCCTGAAATGTGGTTTAGCTTGTTTGAATGGACCACATTTCATGATTCCACATGTGTCTATACTGCTACTTCTGCTAAAACAGGATCCTCTCAAGCCATGCCTCCAAAGCACAGCATCACCTGGAAACAATCTGGAGATGCCTGTTCTTGGGCCTCATCCCAGACCTTACCAATCAAACACCCCAGGAGGAGAGTGCAGCAGTATGTTTTGACTAGTCACCCAGGTGATTTGGATGCACCGATAAAGTCTGAGACTCACTGGCTTAGAACAACCTTCCTCTGCAGTCCATCATTAACTCCTGCTCACCCAGGTGGAGTTCTGTCATGGATTTGTGCTTTAGGAACCTTCCCCACTGTCTTAAATCGACAATTCCCAGATCTCAATTAGCTGAACCTGGCCCAGCGCCGTAGCGCACAGGGTTAAGCTGCCACTTGTGATGCCAGCATCCCATATTGGAGTGCAGGCTCACGTTATAGCCGCTCTACTTCCAATTCAGGTCCCTGCTAGTGTGCCTGGAAAGGCAGAAGAGGGCCCAAATGATTGGGCTCTTACCACCCATGTGGGAGACAAGGATGGAGTTCCTGGCACCTGGCTTCCACCTGGTCCAGTCCCAGGTGTTATGGGCATGTACGGAGTAAACTAGCACATGGAAGAACTCTGTGTCTCTCTCTCCCTCTCACTCTGGTTTGCAAATAAGTAAATTAAAAAAAAAAGTTAGGGGGCCAGCGCTATGGTGCAATGAGTTAAAGCCCCGGCCTGAGGCGCTAGCATAACAGATGGGCGCCAGTTCAAATGCCGGCTGCTCCACTTCCAATCCAGCTCTCTCTATGGCCTGGCAAGGCAGTGGAGGATGGCCCAGGTGCTTGGGCCCCTGCACCCACTTGGGAGACCTAGAAGAAGCTCCTGGCTCCTGATCAGCTCAGCTGTGGCCATTGTGGTCATTTAGGGTGTGAACCAGCAGATGGAAGACCTCTCTCTCTACCTCTCTATGTAACTCTTTCAAATAAATAAAATAAATCTTTTATTTTCTATTTTTGACAGGCAGAGTTAGTGAGAGAGAAAGACAGAGAGAAAGGTCTTCCTTCTGTTGGTTCACCCCCCCAAATGGCTACCACGGTCGGCGTGCTGCGCCGATCCAAAGCCAGAAGCCAGGTGCTTCCTCCTGGTCTCCCATGCGGGTGCAGGGCCCAAGCACTTGGGCCATCTTCCACTGCCTTCCAGGGCCACAGCAGAGAGCTGGACTGGAAGAGGAGCAACCGGGACAGAACCTGGTGTCCCAGCTGGGACTAGAACCCGGGGTGCTGGCACCAAAGGTGGAGGATTAGCCAAGTGAGCTGCGGCACCGGCCGTAAAATAAATCTTTTAAAACAAAGTTCTGTTATGGCCCATGAAAGCCTATTTGAAGTCCATATGTGACTTAACAATTAGACCCATCTCTCAAATGCCATGTATACAGGTTCCTACTGTAAACTTAAAACTTAGGTCAGGAAAACAACTACCCTAGCCAGTCAGTACTCTAGAATTGAAACTACATATTGGTCGGTCTCTCTCTCTCTCCTTCTCCTCTCTTTGTGTAACTTTGACTTTGAAAAAAATAAATAAATCTAAAAAAAAAAAAAAACTACATATTGGAGCTTCTGAGCTCGTGAACATCAGAGAGGGCATGGAAGCCTCCTCCCCAGACCTTGCTCTATGCATCTCTTCCAATCTGGCTGTTCCTGAATTGAACTGTATCATTTTATGATAAACTGGAACTGTGTAGTGGCCACCTTGTGACCACGAGGATGACTGATGATCACTGTGGTGGCAGAGCAGAAGCCCAAGGCACCTGTCCCTGCTGGGGCTTTCAGCCACTGTACTCTCAGCAGCCTGCCCCTGGACTTGGTCTTTGCATGAGAACCCATCAATTAGGTAATTATAACTGAGTGATTAATTTTAGCTTCCAGATGTATATGGAGAGAAATTAAAAGAAGTGCCTGATTTAAAAAAAAAAAAAACCCTAACTGGTGAAATCTCCTCTATCATGTCAGTAAGTCTACAGAAGTGAAGACAAACCAGCACATGCAACCATGTTGCTCCACTAGGGAAAACAGTACACTGAACGTCCTCCAGTTCCTTCCCTGACACAGCGAAGAATGCCACCCTTTCAATTGCTCAAAGAGCCCAAAGCCGTCACTCAAACTCAGCCAGTCATCCCCTAACAAGCAAACGAGTATGAGAAATAGAATGAAACCTTTCTTCAGGACAACGATCCTGTTAGGGTCCACGTGCTGGAGCACACCCTCGAAGGCTCCACAAACCAAGGTGAGCCTCACTCTTCTCCACAGAATCTGATTGAGGAAATGATAATCACTGCTGGGGTCCATTGCATTTGATGCCAAAAGCAGTCTTGAAGGATTCTTCTTTAAGTATCCAAACACCTGGATCTATGTTTTCTTCTCCTCATTTATATCTGTAAGAGACAAGAAGAATAAAAATACGAGTAATTCAGTTGCTGCTCTTTTTAGGATGATGAGAACAAGATCACTAGAAGCATCAACTCTGGGCCAGGCGTTGTGGTGCAGCGAGTGCAGCCACCACTTGGAATGCCGGCATCCCCTATCAGAGCATGGGTTTGAGTCCTGGCTCCTCGGCTCCCATCCCGCTGCGTGCTAATGCCCCCGACAGGGCAGCAGATAATGGCCCAGGTGCCTGTGTCTCTGCTACCCCAAGGGGAGACTCGGATGGAGACCTGGGCTCCTGCCTTCGGCCTGGCCTACCCCTGGCTGTTGCAGGCATTTGGGAATGAACCAGTAGAAGAGCGAGCTCTCCCTATCATTCTGCCTTTCAAACAAATAATAATAATAATAATAATAATAAGCTTCAATTCTAATTCATCCACTGGAAACTGTAACACTTTGGCCAGGCAGGCTTGGCTTCTTTGTCTATAAAATGGGGGATAATATCATCTTTCTTTCCTTAGCTAGATGGAACAAGCAGAACACTTTGAGGTATTAAATTGTGTATAGATGTATCACTTTGACATCAACAAAAAACAAAAGAACAAATGAAAAATATTGACATGGATAAAAATACTTGCCAATGCACGCTATAATAAAGTATTAACCCAGAAATGTTTGGGAAGTAACTCCTTCTAGGTTTAAAGCCTTCAGATTATAACATCTCCAGAGTTTGATATGGTTACCAACCAAACCATAAATGACTTAGAACTATCACAATTCATGCACGTCACAATGATGTCACTGCATGGACTATTTCCACATCACCCTGGTTACAGCTTAGGGGTTCAGCTGCTTAGTGTCACCAACCAGTCATATAGACAGACAGACAGATCAAAATATACTCTTGTATTGGGTAGTGCAATACTGTTATTTAAAACATAAATCCTTTTCCCAAAAAGGTATCTTTTAAAACAGCTCTGGTGTTTGTATGCCCCTGTCTCTAGAACCCTAGATAAATGCTCTTCGGTGGAAGTTTCAATTTCAAAGCTGCTTGCCTTTGCCACACTAGAAAACTCACTGCATTTTGCAATTTAAGTATAAAATGACAAAATGACTAGAGCCTAATCCCAGAAAGAAGGTGAGAAGCCATACAGCATTTTCAGAGAACTAGTCTGTATTTTCATATTTTAAGGTCAAGTGCTTTCACAAACATTATTTTATACTTACAACCACCACAACCTAATTTAGAGATGAGAAACTTCGAGATTCAAGACACCTGCCCAAAGACACACAGGTAGAAGGTAATGGAACCTCAACTAAAATCAGGTCCCTGGTGGAGGAGGACCCTTGTGGCCTAGTGCAAGATCAAACATTACGCATCCAGAGAGAACACAAAACAAGTCACTGGAGAACCTGCGAAAAGTCGTTCTTCAAATTCCTCTAACAGGCAAAGAAGCGATTCTTACAGATACGAAAGAGGCAAAAATAAATGTATTTAAAAAGATACCCAAGGAAAAAAGTTTGTGAAATGATTGGAAAACAAGGACATTAACGTTAAATAAACATCAAAAAAAGCTAAGGAAAAAAATAGTGACAGGAAGCAAAGAAAGCTCTGGGTGGAAACAACTATAAATGGCAAGACTTAAGATTAGGAAGGTAAAGCAAGGTCAGGATCAAGACGCGGGCTTTGAGCTGCAGCGAGCAAGAGGCCATGTGTGTTGCTGACAAGCTTTCCCTCCTACTCCCACGTTAGCAAGTGGTTCTTGGGGGCAGGTCCAAAACACTGTTCTCAGGCGGACAAGAGTGCGTCCATCACGCAAAACCCCGGGTGAGACTCGAATCTCCGGGAAGCCCGGGGACCTGGGGGCTAAGCTGGAACGCCCTAGGTAAGGTTGGAAAGCAGGAACCTAGGCTGGCTGAGGGACACTTGCCAGGACAGAGCGCCCGAGCAAGCAGGTGCTGACAGTTCCTCCACGTCTGAACAGCGGTGAAGGTGTTCCGCAGCGTGCAGTGACTTAACGGGCAGCTTTCAACTCTGTATCAAAAGCGCGAGTACGACCTAACGACCGCCACCGAATCCCTCTCTCCTAAGATAGAAACTTCCAACAGACGGTGGGCCGTGCGCTACAAACGCACGGTCCTTCACCGTTAGGGTTTGCTTTCCCAAAGGAAGTGCGGGAAAGCCGGCTGGGTAACTTCGGCCAAATCGGGGAGCCGCTTGCGCGCCGGTCCGCGGAAGAAACCTTAGGGCGCCCCCAGCCGAGTCAGAGCGCGGTCCCGACGGCAAACCGCAGGACTGGGCAGGGCAGGGCGCGGCGGGGCGCGGGGCTTCACCGCCAGCGCGGCTGCTTCCCGAAGCGCCCCTCGGCGTCGGGCCTCGCGGCCGGCTCCCAGGCGCCCCCTGCGGCCAGGAGGAGGCAGGGCGGCCCCGGAAAGATAAGGAGGTGCGGCTCCCGGCATGCAGTTCCCAGGGGACACACCCTAGTGGGTCCCCACCCCCACCCGCCACACACACACCCCGCGAAGTTTTGTCTGTTTTTATTGTCTCTCTCCGCAGTCCCTGTCACCTGTAGTGTGGCAATCCTGTGAGAAACGCGCTGGCTACGTTCCCCGCCCGCCGCAGGTTAGTTTGTGGTTAAACCGAGAGCCGGTGAAGTTGCCCTTTTAATTGCGGCCGCTAGCGCCCCAGTGGCATCGCCCCTTTAAGGCCGGTGGCGGCCGCTGTTCCGGGGGGCGGGGCTCATCGCCAAGACTACTCTGGCTGGCGCTGGGCTGATTCATTCGGGGGCTGGGACTCCGAGCGGCGACGTCTGCCCCTGCGCAGGGCGAGGCCTCGCTCCTGATTGGCTGTTCCCCGGGCCCGCCCTCCCCCGCACACCGCCCCTCGGTTCCCTCCAGGGTCCGCCGTAGAAACGCTGCCCTCTCCCTTCTTGACCCCTAGCCCTGCTTTCCCTCCCTCGTTTTCTCCTGCCGCCGTCGCTTCAGGCGCCCGTGCTCCCTGAGGAGCTCCCGGCTCGGGGATGGGGTCTCGGGCCTCCACGTTACTGCGGGACGAAGAGCTCGAGGAGATCAAGAAGGAGACCGGCTGTGAGTTCGGGTTGGGGGTGGGCACGGCGCCGGGCGCCTGCGGCTCGCCTCAGGACCGCGGGCGGCTGCCGTGGAGGTCTGGAGCTGGGGTTTTCCTGTGAAGCTGGGGGTCCTGGGCCGCCTCCCGCGTTAGAGCATCGGGAGGAGCCGTTCTTGCAGCTGTCGCGCCCCGGCGCGGGCTGTGGCTCTTGCAGGGCTGCCCTCCTCCTCACAGGGGAGTCTCGGTCACCCTTAGATTGCAGGCGTTATTGTTATTTTTTTTTTTTTAACCCACCTGACTGTGAAAGCCCTCGAACTGCTTTTATCTTGTGTTGCACCGGCCTTCCCTTGGAAGAGACGTCCTGGGCAGTAGGAGACGCAGATCCAGGAACTCGGGATGGGTCCTGTAGGAAACATAATCCATTCCTGTGACGTGTTTGGGCAAGGACCTAAAACCACTGACAGCTGTGGGAGATGACAGACACGCACTTGTCAGAAACTGGAGAAATAAACCCAAAACAAGGCCATGTAGTAAAGCTTTGGGAGACGTGACCTAGCGGCTGGGGACCTTTCAGGTTTGAGGGTGTGATGCTATTTAAAAATTTAAACTTTGGGGAAAACAGGTGTACTGTGACCCCCCGTTTTTTAACGTGACACTGAGGATACTTGCTGTTCTAGGTTCTTATTTCATATATGTCGATTTCTACTCTACTGATGTATGTTAGGCAGTTTCTGTCGAAATTGGATTTACTCCAGAAATCTCAGTGTGAATTTGTACTAGGAACTGATTTTTTTTTCTTCGCTTCCTCATTACCTTGAACAAAGGAACAACAGTGCTTTGGGAACTCAGGAGCTCTGTAAAACACTGTCCTAGGTTTGAATAGCCCTTGATAATGCAGTGTACGGTACAATTATGTTGATGCCTACGGTATTTTCTCAGTATGCCTTTATGACTCTTGTTGAGTTATGAGTTACGTAAGCACCTGCGCTGTGCCTCCTCAGGCCTAGTCTTTGACAGTGATGTGGCTGGTGAGTAACTCAATAGTCTGTGCAGACGGTACTGAGGAGTGCTGGAGGAACCACAGACGCCACCAGGCAGCGGTGGCCTGGGATAAACCACATGTCCTGTGCCTTCTGACAGGTTTCGCTTCTAGATTCTTCAGGTTGGAAGGGATAGTATGTAGCCCTACCCGTCCTCCCATTGGTTTTGCTCTTTGAGCTTCCCTGACATGTGGCCATATGAAGACTGTTAATGATGGTGATCTCAGCACCTAGCGAGGCAGCCCTTCACACAGTGGGAATGAATGACAGAAGGTGGCTAGCTGTTTACAACCTGCTATACTTGTTTGACCACTTGACCTTATGGTCTTTTTATGACTTACTTTGACTCCAGATGTAGAAATATAGGCAGTTTGGATCCAGCAAGCATTTTATTACATTTTGTGGCCATGACCTCCGGCCACACTTGTGAATATAATAAGTACTTTAGGTCTAGGGTGACACCCAAATTAAGGCATTCATGCTGAAAATAAAGGATCACATAATGAGGAATTGTAAACCATAGTGAGTATAGGAAAAGTTATTTTTGCCTCAGAATGAAGGGAGCAGTAATCTCATTCTGGTTTATTTACATCTGAGTAAATGGGAAGGGCCTGGATTGCTCTCTAAGACTCTGGGTTATGGGTTTGTCCACATGACATACAGACAGACAGAACTGAGACCCACGGAAGGGCTGTTTATCCGTGTGCTAAAGAGTAGAGCAAGCATGAGGAAGGTTCTTCACCTCAACCAGTGCTCATAAATGTAATGAACCAGAACACCTAGTCGGACAAGTACTGACTGAATTTCTGCCGTGCCTGTGTTCAGAGCTATGCTGGGTGCTTAGAGCAGATGGTGACAGAAGACGCCCACAAACTGGTTGGAGAGATAAGCTGAAGAGAGTTATGATTAGTATTGTGACATAAGGAAGCTGAAATTGTATGGCACCCACCTTCTCCAGGAAGAGAAGGTCCTTGTGTGCTGGCCTTGTGGAGGACGGGAATTGGGCTTTGACTCACTCATGAATGGATTAGATTTGGGTAAATTAACCTAGGGCATTTTGGGTGCCTTCCAGGAGTGATCTCCCCTTTCCTGCTACAAAGTCATTCCTCCCCCTGGGGCTTGAACTCCAGTTAGTGCCCATCAGCAGAATTGTGTTGTTTTTTTAAGTTTTTATAGATTTATTTGGGAAGCAGACAGAGGGACTCTTGTTCATTCCCTAAATGCCCACAGTGACTAGAGGGCCTAAACCAGGAGCCAGGAACTCAATCGAGGTGTCCCATTGGGGGATGGCAGGAACCCAGCTACTTGAGCCGTTTCCGCTGCCTCCTAGGATCTGCATTAGCAGGAAGCTGGAGCCAGGGGAGAGAGCCTGGTTGAAACCAGGTACTTGGCTTCCTAGCCTGTGATTTAACCACCAGGCCAAACGCTCACTGCCAGCAACTCTGGCTTTTTTTTTCCCCCTCTTCTTTGAGGCAGTAATTTTAGCATGATGCCAAAGATAGAGAGGAATAAAACAACAGATGCCTGGAAGGTGGGCTAGGGAGGGTGAAATTTGGCTTATTTTCTAGCGCCTCATTTCAGGAAGAATAAATTTGGGAACTATCAAAAACTCTAAAAACAAGTATAGGACATCTTACAGTTCTCTTTGTCAGTAAGAAAATGTATCATAATTGAGGCAAACTAACTTTATATTCAATATGAAATATCTGCAATGGAATTGAAGATTATATTTAAGCATTTTTTGAAGGTTCATTTATTTGAAAGGCAGAGAGAGAGAGAGGTCTTCCATCTGCTGGTTCACTCTCCAGATGGCCCCAATGGCTGGTGTTGCACTGGTCAGAAGCGGGGAACCAGGAGCTTCTTCTGGGTCTCCCACACAGTGCAGGGGCCCGAGCACTTGGGCCATCTTCTACTGCTTTCCCAGGCTGTAGCAGAGAGCGGGATTGGAAGTGGAGCAGCCGGGTCTCAAACCGGCGCCCATATTGATGCAGGTACTGCAGGTGGTGGCTTTACCCACTATGCCACAGCACTGGCCCCATTTTTCATAAATTTAAGTTGATTAGACTTCATATATGACTTGTATAGCTGGTTTTTGAAATTTAGCCACCGAATGTTTGGTAAAGTAATTCTAAGTAAGAATTAGCTGTGAGATTCAGTTGCATTGTCTGTAAATTGAGAAAGGTAGTTGTACCTTCTCTGTAAAATAATGTAAGCATTAAGTGGGATAAATTTTGTGAACAAGTTAGGATAGTGTCTAGTATATTAAATGCATATAAGTGTTAGCTATTATTGTTTTCTTTTTCTTTTTTCTTTTTTTTTGGACAGGCAAAGTTAGACAGTCAGAGAGAGAAAGGTCTTCCTTCCGTTGGTTCACCCCCCAAATGGCTGCCATGGCTGGCGCACCGCGCCGATCCAAAGGCAGGAGCCAGGTGCTTCCTCCCAATCTCCCATGTGGGTACAGGGCCCAAGCATTTGGGCCATCCTCCACTGCACTCCTGGGCCACAGCAGAGAGCTGGACTGGAAGAGGAGCAACTGGGACAGAATCCGGCACCCCAACCGGGACTAGAACCCGGTGTGCTGGCTCCGCAGGCGGAGGATTAGCCTAGTGAGCTGCGGCGCCGGCCAAGCTATTATTGTTTTCAACCAGTCATCTCTTGGGTAGCATACCCTTTACAAATGCTAGTTATGTAAATTGCACAGGACTATGTAATTGGGGAAATGACAGCGTTTTATACTTTTCCTGTTTTCAGTGGGCATTGGATGAAGACTCAAGTACAGATGTTGATTTGTCAATTCTAAGGGAATGAAACTTTTAAAAATTAGGTATGGATGTTTGGTGTGTCAGTTAAGACTCCAGTTGGGATGCCCATATCAGAGTGCTTGGGTTTGAGTACCAGCTCCATTCCTGATTCCAGCTTCCTGCTAACGTGCATTCTGGGAGGCAGCAGGTGATGACTCAGGTAATTGCGTCCCTGCCATCCAGGCCCGAAACGCAGACTGAGTTCCCAGTTTCTGGCTTTGACTTGGCCCAGCCCCAGCTATTGTGGGCATTTTTGCAAGTGAACCAGCAGTTCTTTCTCTATCAGTCTCTGTTTACCTGTCTTCAAATAAATAAAATAAATACAAAACTTAAACACTTGCAGGTGCCAGTGCACTGTGGTTCAGTGGATTAAGCCACAGCCTGCAGTGCCAGCACCTGATATGGGCAGCAGTTTGAATCCTAGCCGCTCCACTTCTGATCCAGCTCCCTACTAAAGCTTCTGGGAAAGCAGCAGAGGGTGGACCAAGTTCTTGGGCCCCTGCTTCCAAATGGGAGACCCTAAAGAAGCTTCTGGCTTCTGGCTCCTGGCTCCAGCCTGGCCTGGTCCTGGGTGTTCTGACCATCTGGGGAGTGAACCAGCAGATAGAAACTCTCTCTCTCTCTCTTTCTGCTGTAACTACCTTTCAAATAAATGAATATTTAAAAAAAATTTTTTTCTGACAGGCAGAGTGGACAGTGAGAGAGAGAGACAGAGAGAAAGGTCTTCCTTTGCCGTTGGTTCACCCCCCAATGGCCACCGCGGCTGGCGCGCTGTGGCCGGCGCACCGCGCTGATCCGATGGCAGGAGCCAGGTACTTCTCCAGGTCTCCCATGGGGTGCAGGGCCCAAGCACTTGGGCCATCCTCCACTGCACTCCCTGGCCACAGCAGAGAGCTGGCCTGGAAGAGGGGCAACCGGGACAGAATCCGGTGCCCCAACCGGGACTAGAACCCGGTGTGCCGGCGCCGCAAGGTGGAGGATTAGCCCAGTGAGCCGCGGCGCTGGCCAAAAACATTCTTTTTTTAAAAAATATTTATTTATTTGAGAAGTAGGGTTACAGTGAGAGGGAGAAACAGAGAGAAAGGTCTTCCATCTGCTGGTTCACTCCCCAAATGGCCGCAATGACCAGAGCTGGGCTGATCCAAAGCCGGGAGCCAGGAGCTTCTTCCAGGTCTCCCA